TCATGTAACTGGTAGTTCTTCTTTGTGTTGGTTTTTATTGCTTAAATCAAAAAGCGATTTTAGGAGTTAAGTGAAAGAAAGCTAAAATGTAGAAAAACTTAACTTCTTATTCCACAAATATTAATCAGAAATATTACTTAATATATTAATAACAAATAAGAAAAGATGCAACTAATAAGATATATTTTAAGGGTATACCCATACCATATGTTCTATCTTACATTGGGAGGGGTAAGAACATGCTAGTTCTTATCCCATATTAGATTGAGATAAGTAGCAGATCCTAAGCAACTTAAGCCACAAGTTTCCCCATCAAAACAAAAGCAACCTGTGTGATTTTCTTTTTTCCCAAAGATTGCCATTCAGCTTATAGTTGCTTTGGCCTCCCACTCGCATCTATCAAAGATCTCTGCTGGCTGGCAACTGCGACCGCTGAGCCGCGAAACCACTTGAAAATCCGCTAAAAAAAAGAAAGGGGAAACACAAGGACACTATGTTTAGGAGATATAAGGACACCTTATCAGCGACTCCGGCGTGATTTGCATTTGCATTTCGCTGCTGGTTTTACGGGCGGAAGGTTGAGGTGTTATCCCCACTGTTGTTGTTGTTGTTGTTGCTGTTGATGTTTCTCCTGTTGGGGTTATGTAGGCGGCAGACACACACACGTTGCCGAAATACGGATTAAAAGGGATTAAGTATACGCAGCGGTGTACGTAAACGTGGTAGGCGGTTTTTGGTGAGCCAGTACGCGAAGGAAAGGGGGGGAGGTGGAGGTACATGGAGGCAACACATGTTTAAATTATGCTCAAAATTTGTTTAAAGCCAAACTGGGTGAGGTTGTCGGGGGTGTAGGTGCTTTGGCCATATAGGCTGTTTGTGTTTCTTGCCCAGAGTTGGCGTAACTGATAAGCAGGCTAAGTCGTGGCGAGTTTTTGGGGAGGAGGCGAGGAAAGGGTACTGGTATAGGTCTGGGACCCACATACATAGGTAAGCCGTGGGGATAATACGCCGGGTCTTGACTTAAATCGATGCTAATTTTCGGTTTAATTCAATGGTTTTGTTTACATGTGTTGGAACAACACCAGACTCCCTGTGTATGTGTGTGTGTCTGCCTGTGTGTAATGACATTTTGGCTTTTTGTTGCCATGCCTGTGTAAATAATGCCTTTATTATTTTGCTTGATATCCACTGGCAGAGCAGATAAAAAAATATGAATGGTGGGGCTACAAAACCACAACAAGCAGCAGGTGTTAAAAATTTCACAATATGATTATCTACAATTTTTATTTTTATTTTGTTTTTCCTTTTTTTTTTTTTTTTTACCCACCTCTTTACATTTTTTCATTATTACGTACTTTTTGTTGTTGTTGCTGTCTGTGGTGGTGTGAATTTTTGATGAAATTATGCGTGTACCGAGTTAGGCGTAGCGTAAATAATGCGTACTTATCAGTGGCAAACATTGGCACAGGTTTTTAGCCACACGCACACACTCACAAAGACACACAGACACATCAAATAATAAGCAGAGCTGTTGGCTCGGAATTGAAGTGCATATGAGTATCTTTCGGATTTGGGTTCACTGCGGTGCTCTTGGTGTGTGAATGGAGCTGGAAAATGCTTTCTGTGGCGTTAAAAACGTAATTTTATTCATTTTTGCGGGATTTTTGGGGGCTTAAATAAAAATAAATTATAATATTTTTAAAAAGTTATAGAGTTTTTGATAAATTTAAGCTATTTGAAAGGATACACTAATGAAAAAACTGTTTATGCCTTTTATAATTACAAAATATTTACCCTGAAAGGCTACCAAATTACCCAATTTGTCAGTTCATTCCTGATTACAATTCAGGCTAAAGAGATTTCCTCTAAACTGCAATCTCACAGCTCTAATGAGTTTTAAATGCCAGAATATATTATATATTCGATATTCAGAAATCCTCAACATATATCAGTTACTTTTGTTATGTTAATCAAGTCCAATTAGTTTTACGTACATAGACATAATTGGAAGCCAAGTTAATCAATGGACTTACCAATACCAACTCCCAGCTGGAGTAACTTTTCCATGGCAGACAGTGGAGAAATTACTTGCCATCCATCTCTACAATAGCTACTACTGCTTCCCCCGAAAATTCATTGAGGTATAATAACAAAGTCAATGAACACCTTGATGACAGTTAACAGCAACCGTAGAATGGCCAAAAAGGAAAGTGGCATACTGACTCACACATACAGAGACACACTAACACACACACACAAAATGGCTGAAAAGAAAAGGCAAAAAGATGGCGCAAATTACAGACAAGCTTATTACGCAAAATTTCGCTTAATTAGCAGGCAAAAGGGAACCGAACAGAAACAGAACCAGAACAAAAAGGGAAAGGCAAAGGAAATGGGAAAGCGGGAAAGTAGGCAACAGTTGCCCTGAGAAAGGGGGAGAGAGAGAGAGAGACAAAAGGCTTGGGGGGAAAAACTACTTATACACCCCCTGCACATGGTGGCAGACTTATGGCACCTTTTGCCTGGCAAAGCATAATATATGAACTGACCTTAACAACTTGCACAGCAACAACTACAACTACAACTACAACAACAGCAACCGTCAAGAGGAAGAAGCAACATGTTAGCCGGGTCAAAACGGGGGTGGGTAAAGGTTCAAGCAGTAGGAGAATACAGGGGGCTGGAGTGGCAACGGGGTACAAAAATTTACTCGGGCAACAGAATATTAAATGCCGCGTGGGAATTCTCGCCGTTTATGGTTGCAACTGAAATGGGCCAGCTAGGCGGAAAAAGAGACGGATATAAAAGTGGCAAAGGGAAAGAGAGAGATAGAGATGGTCAGATAGCGAGGAGCACGGCCAGTTACGCTTCAGTAATTTCACTTAAGTCATTATGAGCCATTAATAAAGCCAGCCTGTGCACTAGTTGAGCCACCACATTATTCAGGCCATATCTATATATACGTTACATCCCATCTATTTTTCCCTATTCTGTTACGCTTTTCCCTGGCCAGCTCATTTCACACATCGAAAATCAAGCGAGTGGTTGTCCAAATCATAATCATAATCCCTCTTCGTGGTTATAATGTGATAAATACCATATATCATAGGCGAGAGATTAAATATTTATCATAGATTAAGCACTTATCACATGGTAGGGAAACCCTATCTTTGGTTTATTTTAGGAAAATTACACATTTTCTTGTTGTTTTTAATTAATGAAATGTTATTTGTAGTTTTGACTAAAATACAAAACTAAATTGTATTGGTTTTAAAATATTAATATTAAAGATGAGCTGGTTTTTTCCCATTTATATTTCGTATCTTTAAGATAAGTTTCTTATTAAATGCAATATAATTATTAAACTATCTTAACTATCATACTTCCTTGATAGTTTTTAAGGTCCTATAATACTAAATAGCTATAAACTTTTTATAGCTTATAACCCATCACTGATGATCGCCAGTAACAGGAGCCAGTTACATGTCCTTGATACATTTCACTGGCATCTCACTGGCGTAGTATTTTTATTATTCAGATGCACAGACAAACAAACATATTTGTTGATTCTTTTCCGACTTGTTTGCTATTTTTTTTTGGTGCACCACGTGGAAGGGGAAAGCTGGGCCCGTAGCTTTGGCTTCAATTTTTCAGAGACGGATTTTTGTTTTCCCATTGAAGTGCATTTTTATTGCAATTCATCAGCTGCAAAAGCAAAACTCGAGTGCATTGCGATTTGTGTTGTTCGAGATGTGCGAGGTATTTAATTAATTTGAAAAATAAAATCCACCATACGAAAATATCATATGGTAGATATATATATATATATATATTCGACCATAAAAGTGCATGTCAATTTTTGTTCTTTCCCCATTGAAATGGGAATTTGCAAAGTGCAGAAAACTGTTTGATTTTAAATGTTTAACTTGATGTTGATGACCTGTTAACGTTTTGTCCAAGTGCCATGAAAATGAAACCGAATTTAATTAAATTTCCCACTAACTAAAGAGAGATTTTCAGTTCAGAGTTTGAAATATGGCCCTATATAGGCATCTGTCCTTATTCTCAACTTAGCAGACATAATCCTAACTGGATTATGAGTTGTATTAAATATGTTTTTCCTGCTGGCCCATAACTTTTGATACCCACTTTAAGTAATCCCGAATCTCGGTCAATTCATTTCCTATTACTCAAATATTTTTGCCGGGACAGAAACTTTTTCTAATTCATCTCATCGCTGGCACTTTCACTTAAGTCGAAAACTTCTAGGATATATTTTTGTTTTTTTCTTTTTGTGCTCTGCTGCTGTTCAATGAAGTTTGCGTCTCACACCCGCAGCTCTAGAAATACTTTTACTTTTACTTTCATAACCAAAAGCCTAACACTCGAGACAACAACAAACACTTCGAAAAAGTTTGAAGACCCACTCTTACTATCTGTGAGGTGCAACTCTTAAAGTCCAACTTATACGACTCTTCTACTTCTACCTCTTATATAGGTGCTTATACAACTCTTATAGTTATCTAATATTATGCTTTACCTCTTCTAAAACCTATTCAGCTCCGAATAGTATGCTTATACAACTCTTATAGGCCATCTTATACAGCTCTTATACATATGCGACATTAGGATTCAGCTATATAACTGGGTTTCACTATAAGAGTGCGTCTGCACAAGTAGCAGAGTCACAAACCTCTCTGGCGCCGAAGCAGTGGAAGCTGCGAGAGAATCCGACGATTACTTTACGAAAGATTGTCAAAAACGAAGTGTAGCTGTTCTAAAAGAGTGCGGGCTGCAGAAATCCAAATGGTTTTAGATACTAGAATATATAATGGAAAAAACAAAAATATATATTTAATATTTAGTTAAGCTGAAAGTAGCTAGATTTTTGCTTTGATTTTAATAATATGTTTTTATAAAATATTAAGAAACACAAATATAAGACTTTCTGGAAATTATAAAGCATATATTTTGTCTTATAATCGACTAGCTTAGCGGTGACCCCAACCCTTACCGTATTAGTTGGACCCGCAACATATTCAAATGGTTTTCTTCATACAAAAGAAGTTCGAGTTCGTTTCAAACTTCTGTGAGCCGCGCTTGGACCTGTCGTCCAAAAGATACAGATACATTGCGTTTAGTCTTGGTCGGTCTGCGCGTGGTCTATGTTGACAAACCTTGGTGTGGCTCCCAGTAGCAATATTCAAACTCGAAGTTATTCCGTCGAAAAATATTCGAAATATTAAATAAATACTTAAAAATATATACCTAATAAATCTTAGACAGTTCGCAAAGTACTGTTAGTGATTAAGTGCTTGGAAAAAAAAATGTTCTGCAAAATGCTTAACAAAGTGCGGCCAAGCCTAGATGTGGCTAAGGCTTGTTATTAACCCGAAAGATACAAAACCTATAGCTAACTGTAAACAAGTTAAAGTGAGTGAGTGAGTGTGTGTCGCAATCTTTTACAACAAATACCAACAATCAAAGCAACCTACAAGATGCAGTTTTGGATAACTCTGACATTTGCCGTGCTCTTGGGTGAGTTATCGACTTCGAGTTGAAATTGAAAACATATGAACCGCCAAATCCAAAATGTAGCTCATAGATGACCGCTTGCAAAATGTCTGCGGCAAAAGTTCATGACATTTTCGCCTCGGCTGGCAAACACAAAAAAAAAAAAAAAACAAAAAGAAAAATAAAAACTAAAAAGAAGATGAGCCTCGGCGACTCCAGTGGCAGTTGTATCTTTCCATATGAATTGTGGCACCAGAGGATCGGGTGACTGGGAATTCGGTGGGGCAAGCGGACTTCATGTCTAGATACTCCTTTGTCTGGTTTTTATATTTCTCTTTTTTTTTTCGTTGCCAGCGATTTTTAGTTTGTTTGCCGTTGACATTTAAACACTTGTTTTTTCGCTTACCCAGTCAACGGCGTCTGCGGCGGTTGCTGCCTCTGCCTCTGCTGCTGCTGCTGCTGTTGCGGTTTTTGCCTCACAACAAATAGATATAGAGAATAATTTTCTTGCCACAGCCAAGTGTTGCTTTAACACACGGGTCACCCAACAACCACCCCCACACCACCCACAACTACTCCCCTTTTACATGCAAAAAGTTTTTCGTATAAATTTTTTCACAGTTTCAGTTATTTTCCTCAACAATTTCTGCAGCCTCAACTTTTCTATATATATTTTTTTCCGCCTGCTTCGGCTGCTGTTTATTTGATTTATGCGACATAATTCAGGCGAACTTTGTGGCACACATAATTTAATTTTTGCCATCACTACGAAGGGGCAACTTGCAGAATGGCAAGGTGAGGAGGGATGTCCCCAAAAAAAAACGAATAAGAAGAAAAAAAACCGGCACTTTAACTGACAAACATTGTTGCTGCTGGCATTGCCGTGCGCTTTTTAATTATTTTTTCCCCTTACACTTTTGTGATGACAAAGTTTGAGCTTTTGTCTCGCATAGCTGGAGTTTTATTGTCGGTATTTGTTCTTCTGTTAATTGAAAACTATTTGCATATCAAATTTGTATAGCGTTAAAAGTTTCCTTCTTTAAATTCGTGTACCAATCGAGTGCTAATTGTTGAGTGTTAAGAGTTTATGCCGCATTCAAAGGTTAAGTCCATCATCTATCCGAAAATCGAAATGGTCTTCTTAACACTACATGACGAATTTATTAGTGGGCATTGAAAATGTTTGATTAGCATGTTGAGAAATCGGGCAGGAGAAGACTGAGTGGCGCTATTTCAAAGCTTCAATTATTATTTCATTAATCAAAAAACTTAGGAAAAGGTTTTCATGTATTATACCAATTCCTCCCTTTCTCGCCCAGTCAAATATTTACTCAAACATTCTTTTAACTTATAGCCCAGCTCACATTTGTTGGTGTCCCTTAAGCCTAGGCACGGCTTAGCATTCGGGATACCTTGTATTGAAACTCTATTATTTACAATAACTTTGGTCCTCTCGTATTGACAATAAGCCAAGCATTTGACTCTCATGTCAGTTGGATGATTTCTCAATAGGTCATCGGACACTCCCTCTTTTTTGGCGCATTCTACTACTATTGTTTGCTATTGAATATCAGATTAGATGGATATATAGATTAAAATTAACCTAAAGATACTTACTACATCATTGGAAGAGGTTAGATGACCGATGGCCAGCAGGATAACTAAGGTTAACTTCATTTTGCAAACTGATTTTGATCAGTGCATACGCAACCATATTTATAGGTTAATATGCAGTGCTTCTTGAATAAGTTTTTTAAATTATGGATTTCTTATGAACTATTTTTCATATTTAGTACTTAGGTTTCGTGTTTGAGATTTAATTTTCTACTTTTATATGGTTTTTAAGCCCTTTAAGGCTTTTATTGCTAAAATTTCTTCGCAATATATAAGGAAAATTTACGTAGTTTTTCCATTGCGAAGTGAGTAGTGGCCATTGAAAATGTTTGTTTTGCCTGTTGAGCAATTGGTAAGAAGAGAACAGACTGGCGCGTTTTTAAAGCTTCAATTATTATTTTATTAAATCAAAAATAAAATGTTAAATGTTTCATATTTTACGAAAGCAATTCGTTCCATTCTTGTTTATTTAAATGTTTTTGCAAACATATTTTGAGCTTATAACCCAGCTCACATTTGTTGTCGTCCTCTAGGTCTAGGCACGGCTTAGCATTCGGGAAAGCCTCTAATGAAACTCTACCATCGACAATAAGGTCCATCTTCTCGAATGTACAAAGAAACACGCACTTAACAATCATATCAGTTGGACTTTCTCTAAATAACTGACCGGTCATTCCCTCTTTTATGCCGCATTTGTATATTTTGTCTCTCTAATGGGTATCAAGTTTAAGATATAAATAGATAAACACTACCCTAGGGATACTTACTATATTAGCGGAAGAGGTAAGCTGACCGATGGCCAGCAGGATAACTAAGGTTAACTTCATTTTGCAAATGCATATTTTGCATATTTTGCAACCGTATTTATAGGTTAATATGCAGCGCTTCTTGAATAAGTTTTTTAAATTATGGATTTTTTCTGAACTATTTTTCATATTTAGTACTTTGGTTTCGTGTTTGAGATTTAATTTTCAGTTTATATAAGGCCTTTAGGGCTTTTATTGCAAAAAGTTATGTGTAATAAATAAATATATTTACCTACCAATGTATGAAATGTTTTTGGAAGGAGAAGACTGAGTGACGCTAATTACTTTATTAAACGAGAAAGACAACTTTAAGTTTTTGATATTTCAGTATGAATATTTTTAGGATAATTGCTCCCATTCATGTCGATTCAAATGAGAAAATAAACATAGTCTGAGCTTAAAGGCCAGCTCACATCTGTTGTCGTCCTTTAAGTCTAGGCACGGCCTAGCACTCGGTATATGAGGTATATTTATTTTACCATTGACTATAACTTTGGTCACCTCAAAGTGACAATGTGCCATGCACTTGACTTTGATATTGGTTGGATCAGTTTCCATAAGCTCACTGGTTACTTCCTCTTTTTTTGCACATTCCATTAGTATTTCTTGCTAGTAAGGATCAGATTATAGATATATCTATATAGAAAGCACGCTAAATATACTTACTATATCAGAATAAACTGCTAGAGGACCGATGGCAAGCAGAATAACTATGGCTAGCTTCATTTTGGAAACTGTTTCTGATCAGTGCCTGTGAAACAATATTTATAAGTGAAATTGCACTCTTCTGGAATAAGTTACTAAAATTATACGCTTTTTTGTGATTTATTTTCCATATTTAATATATATAATATTTCATATATAAATCTTAGGGCATTTGCGCCCATTCTTTTTTAGTCAAATAAAGTCTTAAACACAGTTTGAGCTTGAAGCCCAGCTCACATTTGTTGTCGTCCTTTACGTTTAGGCATGGTTTTGCATTCGGGATATCAGGTATATTAATTTTACCATTAACAATAATCTTGGTCTTTTCATACTGACAATATGTCATGCACTTGATCTTCATATTGGTTACATCCTTTATCAATAGCTCTCTGGTCACTCCCTCTTGCTTGGCGCATTCATTTAGTAGTTTTCTCTATTAAAAAATATAATATATTATAAATATATAAAAACACAAAATACCGTATAGATATTCACGTTCACAGAATAAACTGCTAGGGGCCCGATGGCTAGCAGGATAACTATAGCCAACTTCATTTTGAGAACTGATACTGATCGGTTCACTTGCAACGATATTTATAGCTTACCTTGAACCGCTTCTTGAATAAGTTTTTGAAATTAGACTGATTTTCAAGATATATTTTCCATATTTTAACATATTTAACATTTTGAGAAATCTGGTAGGTGAGAACAAAGAGTTGCTATTTCAATGCTTCAATTATAATTTTATTAAACGAGAAACAAAATTTTAAAACTCCAAACGTTTGACTAGAGTCTCCCATTCGCTTTGACTCAAAAACTGTTTTAAGCAAGCTTCGAGCCTATGGGCTCGATGACATTTGCTCTTGTCCTGTATGTCAAGGCACTGTCGGGCACTCGGAACTTCAAACTCAATTTTATCATTGACAATAATTTGGGCCCTCTCAAATTTACAACGGAGCACGCAACCTCCATGGCATATTCTTCGTGGCTCCTGTCGAATATCAGTTTATTAATTAAAATATTAAAATATTAAATGAATACTTACTTTAGAGAGCACTGCTAGAGGACCGAGAGCCAGTAGAATAACCAGGGCTAACTTCATTTTGCAAACTTATTCTGATCAGTGCATTGGCAACAATATTTATAGGTAAAAAAGAACAGCCTCTTGAATAAGTTTCTTAAATTTATTTTTATTATATATTTTATATTTAGGTTTCGTGTTGAAAGTTTAATTTTTTGCTTATATAAGGCCTTTATGCCATGCCTAAATTCTCCCATCCTCTTTGGCTCAAATACAGTCTTAAACATCTTTCGAGCTTAACACCTAACATTTGTCATCGTCCTCTAAGGCTTAGCATGGTTGGGCCCTTGGGATATTAGTTAGCTTAACTTTACCATTGACAATAACTTGGGCCTTTTCCAATAGACAAAAGGCCAAGCACCTGACCTTTCTATTTTTTGGATCATTTCGAAGCAGCTCCTTGGTCACACCCCCTTTTTCGGTGCATCTTCTTCGGAGTATCTTCCTGTCGGTTATCAGTTAATATGTATATATAGATACAAAATCCTGTTTATATAATTACCGCATTGGAATAAACTGTTAGGGGTCCGATGGCCAGAAGGATGACCAGGGCTAATTTCATTTTGAAAACTGATTCTGATCATTGCAAATGGGAGAATATTTATAGGTTGATTTGCAGCACTTCTTGAATAAGTTTTTTAAATTATTGATTGTTATTAAAATTACTTTTCTTATTTAAGTCTTAAGTTGTGCTAAAAACTTAATTTTCTAGTTATATCATAAAGTACGAGGTGTGTTCAAAAAGTAAGGTGACTCTTCAAATTTCGCGAATTTCAAATTTTTCGATTATCGATTTTTTTGTTTTGTTATATTGGTACACTCTTCCCTAACATCTGTACCAAGTTTCAATGGAACATCCTCTTTTGTTTGGTTGTGAGAGGCGTAAAGTTACAAGTTATTTTGCGAGCTCGGCGATTTTTTGCTATCGAAAAATATGGATCAAAGGATTTGGATTTTTTGGCCAAAAACAACACCACAATAATGCCTCAGCCACCATATTCACCGGATTTGGCCCCATGTGACTTTTTCTTGTTCCCAAAACTGAAGATAATCGAAAAATTTGAAAAATTTGAAATTTGAAAAGTCACCTTACTTTTTGAACACACCTCGTATAACTTCTAAAAGGTTTCGATAATCGAAAAATTTGAAATTCGCGAAATTTGAAGAGTCACCTTACTTTTTGAACACACCTCGTATATTAATTTTAAATAGAATTAATTTGATTCTCTTTATCATGACGAATCTATTAGTGGTCATGGAAAATGTTTGATTATCATGTTGGGAAAGGGGTTAGGAAAAGAGTTTCCAATGTCAAACTAAACAACCGAAATGAATGGAAAAACGATCATGAGTGAGCGAGAATGTATCTTAAAAGATTAATTTAAGCTTTAAGATTAATTTCAATGAACTAAGCATTACTTTTCTAACCCACAATTTATGTAATTTAAATAGCTTTAATTCTACGAAATTTAGTTTAGTCACAGTGTTATGAATAACATTTCCCAGAACTTGGTCACTTACCATTTAAAAAAGAAAAACCAAAACTAGAAGCACACAAAAAACTAAAGAGCAGGCAAATGAGGTCCCTGACAGGCTAGCAATGTAATTACAAGACTCGGTCAGACTTCCTTGTGGCATTAGCACCTGCCCTTTGCCGAAGTCGTTTATATACATATATATATACTTAAGTACACAAAATTCCAGATACGAATGTCTATAGACCGTCTTGCACGCGTCGAATATTAATACAAGCTGCAAAAGGCAAAAACCGCCAAGAAACCGCTGGCCAGAAGGCAAAAAAAAGGGAAGAAACGGTTGGCAAGCTGCTAAAAAGACGAAATACACCTGCCCGTGGCACACTCCACAAATTTTCATTCACTTAAGGTCTGTGTGTGTGTGTGTGGCAAGGGGCAAACCTACAAAAATTAGTTTTATGCCCGTACATATCCACACTCTGTTTTTTTTTACATTTCGTCTCTCTAGTTTTTTAGCACAAATGGAAAATTGAGGATGTGGTTAGAGAGGCTAGAGGGAGAGTTTGGTATTCACAAATCTCTTTTACCCACATTGGAGAGCTTGTCGTAGATGGTACGACATACATATATCCGTCCATATGTACTGTCAGCTTTATAATCCGCAGACGATTTACGTAGGCAAATTGAATTAAGGCTGCAAAAACCTCGGCAAACAGAATGGACTTAAAACCCGATTTGGCTTAATGCCGCAGCTAAAATGTGTTAGCATACAACTTTTCAGCATAAATCCTTCACAACGGCAACGGTAGTGCATTGAACCAACGAGCTTAAGTCCAAGCTAATCGCTTGCCCAACTATATACGTATGTATGTACTCTACAACATTCGACCAAGTAAGCCACTTGCTCTGATTAAAAGCGGCAAAAAAACCACGCAAAAAGGAGTTTACAAAAAGCAAAGAGCAAAAAAAAAATGAGTGCAAATTATATGACGAACGGGTTATGTGGGGTTGCGTATGAGAGCTGTAAGCCATAAAGAGCAAATGATGTTGGTACTAGCCTACATAAGGCAGCTCTTCAAGTAGCTAACTGACCGCATTTGGGCCTGGTCACAGAACACAGACAGCCAATGTGATGTATATGCTCCATTTGGATGGATTCCAAGCTATCCTTATGCCCAAGTACTCACCTCATTATTGGGCAATGGGCACTCCTTACCCTTTTCATGTTTTCCACTTTTTGAAGGGGCATTGAATATCTGTATACAGACAGGAGAAAGCCAAAAAAGTAGTTCTTACTTCTAAAAATTGTACAAAATTTTCAAACATTTTTATTTCATTTTTTTAACGAAGATTTTGGTTTCAAGATATTCCTCATAAGCCTTATCGAGCTCATCGTGTAGGCAATTATACAGCTTATTACCAAGTTCACATTCATTTTGCTCCTTGAGATTAAAACAATGTCTTAGTTTCTGATTACCTGCTAGTCCTGAGACATTTGGCGATACGGGTTTCTCCTTACGATCAGGATCAACTATCTTTCCATTTTCAATAATATGAATCCTTGTTAGCTCGCAAAGGTAAAAGCATTTCACTTTATAGTTATCAGGTTCATTATCCAGCATATCCTCTGTTACGCCCTCCTGCATTGCACAGTATCTTAGTTCTGGTGACTATGGGAAAGAGTTATTTTAGGTATTATAGGGTTACGTTTTTTCTTCTTCCTTACATCCTCAAAATCAGCTGCATTAGCAATGGTTTGCATGCCAATACTTAGAGTTAAGACTAATGTTATCAATAAGTTCATTTTTAAGACTGGTTATGATCAGAGCACTGCAAGCTCTTTATAAAAGATTTCCCGCACCTTTTCTGGCATAAGTTAATAACATGTTAATGGTTAATAGCAATAATTATTTATTACCTTACTTGGTTTTTCAAATTTATGTTCCTATTTTAATTTTCAAGTCAGTTTATAGGCTATTAGCATTAACAAGTCCGAAGTAGGCGTTGTCGACTCAAGGTCTAGACTGTAAAGAATATTTCATACAGCAAAAATAATTGAAATTCGATTATAATTATATTTATATACTAGGAATAGTGGGTATAATATAGTACAAGTTTTACTTACTTCTAGATATTCCACTTCCAATCGGATCATCCACTGCAGCCCTACTAATTTCGCACCTTAACAAAAAGCTACATTTTGCCACCTCATGTCTGCAACTTTTTCCCAAGAAAATTACATTCCTTGCTGGGACGCTCATATATATATATATAAATAGTTTGGTATATATATTCATCAGCCTGCATCTGCATCGGAAAGTGCCGCATAATTACAACCCCCGGTCGTAGCTTCTTCTCATTTGCGAACAGCTCTCTCTCCATCTCAGGCTTTGTCCCTGGATTTTGCCCCTTCTTGGCTTGATCACAAAGTTGCGACCCCAACACACAAAATGCTGGTCATTTGTTTTTATGTAAATACAAAATGTGCTGCCTTCTTGCTGTTGTTAACTTGGCTTATGCACATTTCCCGTTCTCTTCAACACAAGAAGAAGTGGAGACCAAAAGCCCCTATAAACTGAATTTTTCCTGAAGCAGTATTTATTTTGCTTTTTTTTTTGCGGACTGTTGGTTGGTGTAAACATTTCTATTTGGGCTGGCAGTTTTTGGTCAAAAGCGCCAAACAACATGTTCCTTATTATTTTTTGTGCAAAATCACTTCCGCCAGAAAAACCGAAAATGAGCAACCGAAAAGCAGCTGAAAATTTTTGCTAGCAACAACTTCTTTTCTTCTTTTGGCCCGCCAGCAAGATTTTCTTTTGTGCAGTTAAAATAAATAACAGTTTATGAAAATTTGCCAAAAAAAAAAATAAGTATCAGCATTGGCTGAAACGAGAACAAAGTGGAGTGAAGTGGAGTGGCTTTTCCTGTTCCACCGTGGACTGAGAATCATTGTTACTGAAAAAGCTAAAAAGCTGCCCATTTAAAAGGCGTTGACACTCCCCACCAATTCGGTCGTTTCTCTCACCCGCTAGAAATTTGTGCTAACGAGTTGTCGTTGTTTGCTTTCCTCAAAAACTGGAGAGCAGTCGGGTCTTCAATAGGCCCTATGTGATGAGACCGGGCCCATACTCTACCCCCCTTCAATCTCTCTCCCATCTGTCTTTGTGCTAAATTGAACCAATTTTTTTTTGCTCTTCCTTTGGGTTTTCCTATGTTTTTGTTTTCTACAAACATATTCTGTTTTTATGCTGTTTTTTGCTTGCGTATTTTTTTTTTTACAGTACTTTGCACGTCAAGTGAGTGAAAACTCAGTGCCGGAGAATGCGATTTCCAGCATGAGTGTGAATGCGAATGCGCTTTCAAAGCTCGGCTGCTGTCTATTCATGCGTGCCATACATTGGCAAGGGGAGGCTACCATGGAGAAGGTTGTTTTTTTTCTTTTTTTATCCAGCTGGGTGGTGGTGCAGGGCTCCTCAAAAACCTACATGTGTAGCCCAGACACTTATGGAACACCACCCGGACTTTTAAGGATGAGGAACGATGAGCCGAGCTCATGAAATTGATATTGTTGTACTTTATGTTTATGTCGAATCATAATCGTTGCTTAGCATGGCTAATTCTGACTTAAGGGCCAATTGTTATTAGATATAATGTGTTATTTGATCGTTATTAACGTGTTTTTTGGAAAAATTCAAAATTTTTGTTTTATTAATTGGTCTTTAGCTGGGCTGAAAGTTGTCAAATAAAATGCTTTAGATTTAATGGGAGTTTGGAAAAGAAAACTGAAAGATCTTTGAAAGATTTTTGGCAGCAAATCACATTTGTTGTGATTCGTGATTTTCTGGCACGGCTTTACCTTTTCACAGACCTTAAAATTAGCTTCGGTTTTATTTAGAACGGAAAAATCATATCGAATACATAGTTTCTTTTAGCGCGACTTAAAAATTGTATCTAAATCGATGTATTGCTTTAAGCACTGGAATATCAAAAAGCCGAGCTCACATAATTCATTATTCGTTATCCTTAGACAGGGCTTTATCAAGGGTTCCAATCTGTTGATATCATCACGTGTTAAGTTTAATGCGGACACATTGAAGGGTTCGAGTACGCCATTAGCTAATATATCCAGTTTTTGCAATTCGCAACGGTAGAAGCATTTGGTAAAGTAACTATGAGGATACGCTTTGAGGAGATCGTCTGTGACACCAGTTTGTTTCATGCAATCATCTCTGATCTTGGCCTGTAAACAAATTGATGTTTATTATGTTTTAAAAAGGAAACTCATACTTACAAATACAGCAGAGGAAAAGGGAGCAAGGGCCAGCAAGACAACCAAGGCAAGAAAGACTTTCATTCTGACAACTGATACTCATACCTCATACTTCATACTTAAGCCACTGGCTTTTATACCCTTTTTTAAGTTTTCATTACGTGACTGATATTAAATGTTCTGTATTATTTAGTTTTAAAGATATATTTATGACTTGGGAAATTTTTAAGCGATACTTAACTTTACTTGACCACTCCGTTAGCAATTCTTTCAAGTTTTTCGAGTTGATAGTACTTGCCTCGGATAATTTTGGGATGATTCTCAATGAGATATGAAAAAAGTAGTATGCTTTTCTTAGTAAAGAACCGAAAATATTGCCTGCTCAGACTGACCTACAACAACCTTAAATTCGTTTATTCCTTTAAGTGATGAATATTTTATTTTCTTAAAATAAATACAAAATTGTAACAGCCAAAACATTTTAATCAGTATATATTATTATATAGCTCCTACATTTCTGAAGTGATCTCTTATGCACATGAAAACCAAGTAGCCAAGTTCACAGCGGTCGGGATTTTTTATACTCATGCACGGCCTTATCAACATACCGAGCTCTTCGTACAGGTAGTTTGCCTCAGACAGAGTCGATAAATCAATGGGGTTGACTACTCCTTCGGAAATAATTTCAAGTTTTTCCATTTGACAAAGGTAATAGCACTTGACTTGCTTGCTGATAGGTTCGCTTGCAATGAGGGCAGGAGTAATACCCTCTTGTTTTATGCACTCATTTGAAAGGTTATCCTGTTAAAAATGATTTTATATGTTCTATATTGATGAAAAAGTTAAAAATACTGATACCTACCAGTATAGAATTGGTACAGTAAAACGGACTAACCGCTAACAAGAAAACCAAGGCACCCAATACTTTCATTTTGAGAACTGTCACTGGTCTTTAATTTTCCTATAGCTTTTATAGCTTAAGAGTGCAGGCTTTCGCATAAGTTACCAATATTAGCAGTTTAAATTATATATCTTCAGGTAACTGTGATAAGAAAAAGAATTAATGTCTACGAATTACACATTAAAATATAGTCTGCTTTTGCTCAGTACAGAAACGAACTACAGAAACGTCTACAGAATGTAGGCATATATAGAAATATTTATATTAGATTGTTTTTATAACGAACATTTTATTTTCTTAAGCAATTAAAGATTCTATTTAGTAAACATCCAGAACTTGTTAACCAGCATAGAATATATATTATCTAAATTTCCACATTCTTTAAGTGGTATCTTAAGCAATCGAATACCAAGTGTCCGAGTTCGCACCGGTTGGGATGAATTAGGGTCAGGCAAGGCTTAATCAAAATACCAAATTTGTCATAGTTTTCCTGTGTTATGTTAAGTACAGAGAAGTCAAAGGGATTGACCACTCCATTGGCAATTATTTCAAGTTTTTCCATTTGACAGGCGTAATAGCACTTGACTCGAATGTTGCCAGGATGATTTTCAATCAGGTTAGGAGTAATCCCACCTTTCTTAGCGCACTCATTTGATAGGTGATTCTGTTAGAAATCACATTGTATTGATATTGTTAAAAAAGTTCAAAGTACTGATACTTACGAATATGGGATGGTCAAGAGCTTTCAGCGGACCAACAACCATCAAAATAGCCAAGGCAGCTACTAATTTCATTTTGAGAACTGATAACTGGTATCGACTTTACCTACAGCTTTTATACGCTACTTGTACGCTATACTCAGACATCTCGGATAATAAATAGAATTTAAAATAATGAATTAGGCATTAAAATATATTCATTTTCAAGTTAAGAAACTAGTTACCGTAGCACCTACATAAAGCAAAATTTCTTATACTTTGTGATAAATATTTTCTTTCCTTAGAAGCAATAGAAAATGGCATTTAGTTAATAGTCAGAACAATTTAATCAGTTTGGAATACATATTATTTTGAAACTTCTACATTCTTGAAGTGCACTTTTAGGCAATCGAATACCAAATATCCGAGTTCGCACCGGTTGGGATTAGTTATGGTCAGGCACGGCTTAATCAAAATTCCAAATTTGTCATAGTTTGCCTCTGTTACGTTAAGTACAGACAAATCAAAGGGATTGACCACACCATTGGCAATTATTTCAAGTTTTTCCAATTGACAGGCGTAATAGCACTTGACTCGAATATTGGCGGGATGATTTTCAATCAGGTAAGGAGTAATCCCACCCTTCTTAGCGCACTCAGTTGATAGGTGATCCTGTTAGAAATCACATCGTCTTGATATTGTTAAAAAAGTTCAAAGAACAGATACTTACGAATATAGGATGGTCACATCTTAGCGGACTAACCACCATCAAGATAACCAGGGCAACTAGTAATTTCATTTTGAAAACTGATACCTGGTATCGACTTTACCTACAGCTTTTATACGCTACTGGCACAGGCATTCGCATAAGTTCCTATTATCATTAGCACTTTCAATTATACATCCTAAGACATCTCGGGTAATAAATAGAATTTAAAATAATGAGTTAGGCATCAAAATTTGCTATATTTTTCTGTGTAATGATTTGGAGATACTTCTAATATATACATTTCCAAGTTAAGAAACTAGCACCTACAACAAGCAAACATTTCGATACTCATTTTTGTGATAAATATTTTCTTTTCTTAGAAGCAATAGAAAATGGCATTTAGTTAATAGTCAGAACATTTTAATCAGTTTGGAATACATATTATTTTGAAACTTCTACATTCTTGAAGTGCACTTTTAGGCAATCGAATACCAAATATCCGAGTTCGCACCGGTTGGGATTAGTTATGGTCAGGCACGGCTTAATCAAAATTCCAAATTTGTCATAGTTTTCCTGTGTTACGTTAAGTACAGACAAATCAAAGGGATTGACCACTCCATTGGCAATAATTTCAAGTTTTTCCAATTGACAGGCGTAATAGCACTTGACTCGAATGTTGGCGGGATGATTTTCAATCAGGTAAGGAGTAATCCCACCTTTCTTAGCGCACTCATTTGATAGGTGATCCTGTAAGAAATCATATAATTTTTTTTTAAAGTTAATAATATGGTTAAAAAAGCTAAAAATAGTAATACTTACGAATATGGGATGGTCAAGAGCTTTCAGCGGACCAACAACCATCAAAATAGCCAAGGCAACTAGGAGTTTCATTTTGAGAACTGATACCTGGTATCGACTTTACCTACAGCTTTTATACGCTACTGGTACAGGCTTTCGCATAAGTTCCTGTTATCATTAGCACTTTTAATTATACATCCTCAGACATCTCGGGTAATAAATAGAATTTAAAAAAATGAGTTAGGCATTAAAATTTGCTATGTATTTCTATGTAATGATATGGAGATACTTCTAAGAAATATATACATTTTCAAGTTAAGAATCTAGCACCTACAACAAGCGAACATTCTGATTCTCATTTTTGTGATGAATTTGAATGATTTTCTTTTCTTAGAAGTAATTAAAAATGTCATTTTATTCAGTTTGGAATACATTTTATTTTGTAATTTCTACATTCCTGAAGTGCGCGCTTAGGCAATCGAATACCAAATATCCGAGTTCGCACCGGTTGGGATTAGTTATGGTCAGGCAAGGCTTAATCAAAATTCCAAATTTGTCATAGTTTTCCTGTGTAACGTTAAGTACAGACAAATCAAAGGGATTGACCACTCCATTGGCAATAATTTCAAGTTTTTCCAATTGACAGGCATAATAGCACTTGACTCGAATGTTAGTAGGGTTCTTCTCAAGGAGGTAAGCAGTAATTCCACCTTTCTTAGCGCACTCATTTGATAGGTGATGCTGTTAAAAGGCATATAATTTTTTATAAAATTAATAATATTATTAAAAGAGCTAAAAATAGTAATACTTACGAATATGGGATGGTCAATAGCTTTCAGCGGACCAACAACCATCAAGATAACCAAGGCAACCAATACTTTCATTTTGAAAACTGATACCGGTCGTTGCATTATTTTCGATTTTTATAGGGTCTTGGTACAGGCTATCGCATAGAGTTTTATTATAATTAGCAGTAACATTTTGGTCGTGTTTGAAAATAAATTTGGTTTATTTTTATTGATTTAAGGCAGAGCACATCTCCAACTAATTATACTCTATTAGATATCAGAGAGTTTCCATTATCATTTGAGATATGTGTAACCAGAGAGATGTTAAACTAGGAATATAGTTATATAGCAATTCTTAGTATAAGCAGAGTTAATAAATGTCCCCCAACGTAGGACAATAAATTTAACAACCACCTTGTTTGTTAGGCACTTGAAGAATATAATAAGAAATATGATTATATTTTTATAACTTGATAATTGCAATAGTTACTGTAAATATTAAACTTAAAAATGATAAGCGGTAAAGTTTTGGGTAACTTTACTGATATATTGCCATTGCAAACTCCAGATTTGCCATATCTCACAGCCAGCACGAGCTCATCGCACTTGGCTTGCCATTGCAGATTCGTGCAACATGTTTGGAAGTGGGTGTGCGTAAGGTGTCAGTGGCACCTACCACGACGACGTCGTCGGGGTACAAGCTGATACTCCTACATCACCGCCAAGACCCCGCCCCTTTTTGCCAACCAGTCTTAGCCAGGAGATGATGGGAGCTGGGAACTGAGAGATGGAGATGAAACTGGGGGATGCAGATGCAGATGCAGATGGAGCCGTGGCTGCGGTGTCTGGGCCTGTTGGCTGTTTTCTGTTTTCCGCTGGCGAACTGTTGACTGCCAGCTTGCCACTTCATGTTGAAGCCGGAGGGCAGAGGGTGGTGGGTGGTTGGTTGGTTACAGCCGGGTTTCCATTGCATTTTCGGTCATTATTCAACGTCATTGCAGTTTGCTGCTGCGGTGGCAGCTTCAATGATGCATAATTTGTAGCGTTATATAAATGCAAACTGTGTTGATATTTTTTATGCTAATTGCATGCAAGTAAAACTTACATACACAAACACATATACTCCTATATATATAGTCAGCTCGGTGTAATTACATGAGGCGGGTTGGAGAGAAAAAAAAAAGAAAGTTGACAGTTAGGTGGCGTCAACGGCAGTGTGGCAGAGTAAGCGTCAGGTACCAAACAAGTTGCAACTGCAACATCAACAGCAAAGGCAACAGCAATTGTTGTCGCTCCTTATGACGCGACAGTAACGAGCAAACAAACATACAAACATATGTATCTGTATGTATATAGTATCTGTACAGTTAGGTGTTTGTATCTGATATATGCAATTATGCATGACGGTCTCTCTCAGATCTCGAAAAGATACAGTCGCGATGGCTGTCAGGTAGATACACTCGTATGTACAAAAAAATATTAGGTTAAAGATGTGTAACGTGCGAAGTTTGCCAAGTTAAAGGTTTTCCACTAACTGCGTTTGTACTAACAGTAGAGAGAGAGAGATAACTGGGTTTTAAGAACAATGCTATAGGGTAATAAGGCCTCTAGCTCATTCATCATTTCTATCAAGAACTATTTAGATCCCCTTCTAATCCATCTTAAGAAACCCATTTAAAGAGATTACTTGTCCAAAGCGTACCACTTAGCCATTAAGCTTACGGCTAAGAACCAAATCAATTCAGTCATAAATTCTCGCTATCCAAACTTGGCGTATCGAGCGATTTATGAGGACGAGTAAATAATTGGAAAATAACGCTGCCTGGTAATTAATAAAGTTTAGCTCAAGTTGATGGCAAGCGTATTGGCAGTGCCATAAAATCAGTGCCATAAAACGTTCTACCGAATTACACGTAATGCTCATCGAGCTCGGGGTGGCAAGCATAAAAATTTCAAACTGAAACTGAAGCGCCTTTCAATAAATTATCAAAGCCAAATGCGAGAATACTCGATGAGCAATTGAATATGCGATTTCTATGGTCATTAATCTACGTGCCCCAGCTAAACAGTTCCTAACTCAATTTCCAATATATGTGTATAGCCAGCTAGATGGCTGTCGTCTCTACGTATAAGCCAATTTGACTATGCAAATAGCTGGAGTTGAATGTGCTTTGGGTTTTGTGAGTTGCTTTTCAAGTGCTGCCAATTAACAAGCCCTAGACATCGTCTCTCTCTCTCTCTTTCTCTCTATATGTATGTTTGCGAATCGATATTTACTCAATTAATTTATAACTTCCGCCAGTGTAGATAGAGATGGCAATACAGACCAAGCGACAGCGATTTTTCATTCATAAAAAAAAAGTGGCAAGCGAACTGATGAAGCTCCGTTGATGTCGCTGCCGCCTGTCAGCGGGTTTTTCAAGCCCAGTTTTGCCCGCTCTCTTCGGCACAGGAAGCAATCATCGTGCTACAAGTCATATTAACTTACGCTGGGCGCACAAAAAAAAAGAAACGAATAAGTATATACCACATACAAGTATATGTACCATACTCATCTGCAGGAAAGGAAAAAACACAAAAAAAAAGACCCAGAATCACGGCTGAAAAACAGAAGCAGCAGCTGGGAGCTGCTGCTGAGCTGCCGAGAGTTGGGAACTTGGAAGATGCGATTGGAATGGGATGGGGTTGGATGGCTTTGGATCCGATCTGGTCAGCATATGTTGTCCGGCAACTTTGCGCATGCGAAAGTTGCACTCGAAACTATCAATGAAGGAGGACCCAAACCGGACTTGGTCAACACCCCCCGTCCCACCGCCCCTCCTTTCCCTTGCACCGTCCTGAAATAGCCCCTCTATATTAGGGGCTACCAGTCGAAATGCGAGCAGGTGCACCACTTACCCACACTGGCAAACATTTCATAATGATGGATGGCCAACACAAACACACAGGCGCGCCTAAGCCGGTTTTTTTTTTCGTTTTTCTGAACAGCGTCAGTTGTTTGTATCTTTTTGTTTTGTTAGTTTTTTTTCTGTTGTTGCTGTGTGTTGCCTCAATTAAACTGCCAGGGACGTGGTCGAAAACCCACAAAAGTGTACGGTAACTTTTGGCCCGAAAAAAAAGAGAAGAAAAAATATAAAAGGCAGATATTCGTGAAAACTGAATTAATAACGAGGCGCGTCAATGTGAGAATTATATCAATTTCCCAAGAATGTAAAGTTCATATTTAGCACTAACGAACTTTTCATGGAGTCCCCACCAATAAGATGATTGATGGTTTATCTTCCAGTTAATAGAATGACAATAACCAGGGAAGCCCCTGGTATGAGTGATGAGGGTGTGAGAATACCAAATTGTTAGGGACAGGAGGAGTTTTTTCGGAAACTGATGTTTTTGTAGAGATAACATGGGAAAATACAAGGGTAAAAGGAAGTCTATAAGGGAAATGAAAGACTGTGGACAGTATTTTAGTTCTTGAGATCTTGAAGATCTCTAAAAAGAAAAGCAAACATAAAAATGAAATGAGAGCTAGATCAAAATACTTATCTTTACAGAATCTAATCAAAATATATCCCTTTACTTTCCGTATTCTTAGAACTAGAAGAATTTTCCATTTTCCAAAGACAACTAAAGATATGTAAGTAATCAATTTGTCCTCATTTCTCAAACTTCAAAACTCTATCTCGATTGGCATTACCTATAGCTGGCGGCATTTTTGATTCGATTTGATTCCATTTGCTCCTCCAGCTTGGCGGTGTTAATTTTGACAAATGAACATTTTGGTTGCTGGGCATGTAGAGTATGATGGGGCATGAGGCTCAATGTGCCGGCTTATCTATAATTTACATGTTCTGACTAAACTGGGACTCCACACAAAGCACCATGTTGCGTTGTCTCTGCTTAATTACGGGCCCATCGGGTTTGGCCTTTTGTGGTGCCTTTTGTCTTGGCCTCAAACTAATCAGCTCGGAGCCATTAATCTGGCCATAGTAGTGTCTTGTTTCGATGCAGCGGTATATCTCGATTATCTAACTTTCAAGAGAGTAAAGCTGTGGCCAGTTCAACGGCTATGCTTGAATAGTTTTTTTTCCCCCTCAAAACGCCGCCACAAGATAACTTGAATTTCTGGCTCTTGGGTGACGCTTGACTGGCTTAGTAGTTCTGTTTTTTTTGTCTTTTTTTTGTTTGACAGCCACATTCAGAGCCCCATTATGAGCCAAAAGTGCAAAATAAAAATGGGTTTTATGTCTCGCCATTAAAATTTGTGTTCGTTTTTTTTATTATTTTTGAATGGGAAACGCTGACAATTGCAACGATGTTTTGTGAGTTTTAGAGTTTTTAGGTTTTGGCCCGCATCTTGTTCACACGCT